CAAATAATTATTTTTATGGTACCAAGAGACTGGCAGCCAAAAGCCTATTAACACATTGCTATCTGTTATCATTTTATTAAACACTCCTACCCAGCGAAATCACAAACAAACGATGGAATTTTGTAACTTTTTTAACTCAAAAAGTCATAACGAAATAGCATTACTTATTCAGTTCATTTGTTAAATATACAATTAGGATCAGATGACTTCTTATTAGTCTTCTTATGTGCCGTTTTACTGAATTTTAAAAATAAAATTTTATTTCCTGTGTAGGCACGAATATGTGCACATGGATTTTGCTATAAATTAACTGGAATAGACAAATCTGTGTACACACACTGTATCATAAATGAAATGGGATTCACAGATTTTTGTACACGGACTTTTTCATAAAATAAATAAAATGTACGATTAGACACGTACATTACTGATAATATTGATACACGTTCTAAGACATTTATACGGGTTTCTCATAAATTAAAAAAATGCTGTCAGGCTATCTGAATTTATTTCTTATCAAACCTATCTATTTTTATCGTGTTTGCATTGAAAGAAATTTAACGATCTCCTCTCGTATCAGTCTATAATTCTTTACTAAGTATCTGCGCATAGAAACAGTGAATTAAATTCCAAGATAACATCTTCGAGATAATATATGCTCTTCTTGCGAAAGACGCAAGTCCCAAAGGAGACGACTTATGATAAGTATGTCACGATATACAGAGATAACAGAGTCTCTGTTAAAGCACAAAATTATATTTAAATTCGTCTTCAGAGATCCCCAGAAAAATTATGCAAGTTATACATTTATTCCGACTGCCAGGGAAGTCTAGATCTTCTTAATTAAAGAATCTTATTCATTGTTCTGTGTTAAAGTACTGTTCCCAATGAGATAGAAACTTTTAGACTTCCTACTCTGGATCCTGAAAGTTTCGAAGGAATGCTTCTTCTCTAATTTCTCTACAGGAAGAAGTAGTTCCTCTGATAAATTCTTCAAGAAGTACAGAAATATGAAGGTTCAAATGTCTCGTAATCTTGAATTTCTTAATTAATTAATTATTAGCTTGTGCATGTTTCTGCAACTTTCGACTTCCAAAGGCTATTTTAAAGACGTAAGAGCGAAACAAAAATTTCAATTTGTAAAAACATCCAGATACGATTGGACGAAAATTAATTACAATTTTCCTTAACTATATTATAAGCTTGCAAGAGATTTGAAACTTGAGTACTGGGCAATAATTCGACGTTTACAATAATTATTCATTAAATGGAATAAAAATTCTCCGTAGTCTACGAACGTATAGAATATAACCACAACTGTAACAAATGCAATCGTTGAGTGAATACAACATATATTCAACTATTGGGTTAAGACACAAATAGGCAAATTTTTTCATACGAAACCAAAACTGTTTATTCAGACCTTGAAAACAATTTATTTAATCAACTACGTATTTTCTATTACATGCTGTGTAAAATATCACTCCAATAATATGACCTGTCTTCGGCAAATTGCAGTGACAGTAATACAAAAATGTCACTTGGAGAATTCCCATTACATCAACACAATAATTAAATAAATTTGAGTGAACTCAATTGTCTACTAAACGAAAAAAATGGAGCAGACAAAAAATATTAATGATGAAAAACAAAATTATTTATCAACAGGCATATTATCAATTGAGAAATAAAAATTCCTAAAACAGATTATGTAATTGACCTGCAACTGATGATGAAGAGTATGTACCTCAAGAAGGTAGATTCATTACAGTCAATAGAAGAATTTCTTTTCCCCTTTCTTGGATTCCTTTTGAGTCCCAATAATATAAGAGATGCGTTTCAACGCCGCGACAAAGAAATGGAAAATGAAGACGGAACGATTAAGATTAAGGATTCATTTGACGTTTCAATTATCTTTTCAATGAAACGCTGCCAGAGTAATCCAGGCGACAGATTTCTTGCCAAAGGCGCATCAAGATACGTATCTCGCGAGCGGTAGACACGATAATCGCCCCCGCGACCTAACCCGAGCTAGTTAACCTATGCTAAGGGCGCTTTTTCATCGTCGACGATTCAGCGTGTTTGAAGACGCGCCTCGAGGAGAAGGATGATACCATTCTTCAGACTTAAGAGGATCAGACCGCTTATGATTGCCATGATCTAGTTCTTGTCGGGGTACGTTTACTCGAGTGGAGAACAAAACAGCATCACACAGTGGCCCATAAATTAAGTAAATTAAATTTAGCTGTCCAAACATTTAAATAAACACAATAATTCTGGAACTAATTGGACTTTCCTTAATTTCAGATTAAGTGTATTATTATTTTCCCATTTAAAGAGGGTTAAGATATATGTATATTTGGTAAGAATGAGTGTCATGTACCGCGAAAGGTTTGTTAACTTAACAAATATTATTTACTCGTACGCTTAAAAATCTATTAAAAATTTATCAAATGGAATTTCTTTCAAAAATCTTATTTTCCATAAAACTTCGCAGTCAACAATCAATAAATGATCGAAGATCCTAATAACAAATTCTTGAAAATCTCCCAGACCATATATTTTCCCGTAATACATCAATTAGCTTAAGTGACGTGACTAAAGGAAAAGGGGCAATCATTATTAGCATCGAGTAACTTTCAGGTGGCAAAAGAAAAATGATTACCGACCGAACGTATCTTGAATTTTCCAGAGAACTCGAAGCCGCCCCCCGCGGAAGCTGCAGGCGGCGAGCTTCTTTCTCGGAGGTGTCTTTCAACCCACCCACCCCCACACCCTACCAGAGTCGACGGCCCTTTGTCTACGACGCACAAAGGAGTAGATTAGGCGCGGATCTACTCGGTCTAACGGCGTGCATGATATCGTGTATCTGGCGGTGCACGTGTGTTCGTGTGCCGCGGCGGTACACAGACTAAACGTATACACATCTGAATTGTATACCTAGATGCACACGTCTAACCGGTGAACCCATTGTCTCGGAACACGCACACCGCCGACGGAACCGAGATTAGCATGAATGTGCCACGTCAAATCGGCGACGTGGCCGCACGGCTGCTAAGTATACGGATTTAATTTAATGATGAAACCGATAGGGGGTGGCGGTTAACGCTGGAATAGTGTCATTAATTTTTTGTGATATTAACGTCAACGTGGCGCACACTGTACATAGATCGTGTAGAAAAAATAATGTTTGTACTTCTTTTACGAAGTTTTCACCGATAAATGGTTGTGGTCAACTCTGAAATACGAGCATTAATTTTTTGTTGTCTCAGTACAACGTTTATGTTTACCAACCTAATAATGTTTACTTTAACGTAACATTGGAATTTGCGTGTACATGTAATATTTTGGATTGCGGTCCTCCGAAGAGGATTTGTGGGGGGGGGGGTGATACAGTAAATATGTATAGTTGGCAACGTAATTCCGCGGGAACAGGCCTGATTCACCTGAAATGTATTATTTGGTCGCGAGTTAACACGATTGACACAGATTCGCTAATGCACCGAAATGTTCTTGGGCACGCAACCGGAATGCATCAGCCCGACCGACGTATTATTGTTTCAGAGCACCCACACGGATGACAGAACAGAGATTAGTGTCATCAAAGGGCCCACATTCAATACACACCGAACTCGCGGAACACCATTACGGGGATTAATTTTCTAAACAAATAGTTGACAATGTTACAGTGAAACGTCGATGTTCGATTAATTGTAACAAATTCTAATCAGTATTGATTAATATTGGTGTAGGGTACATATAAGAATGGTGAAATTTTGGTTTTTCGCATGTTCTAATAAGGTACGAAATAGATTGTTAATAACCGCGTACATTATTAAAATAATATTATTTGAAAAAATGATAATACGTGATTCTCCTAAAGAAGGTAATAGAATTAAGTATTTTGGGAACAACTATCGCAAACTATAAAAATGACACTCTAAATATGCATTTTGTATAATACCTTGGGATTTTAAATAAAAAATAAAGCTCGACATTAGAGTAGCTTATTTGCAATATGAAAATATTTCTTACTAAAAAATTCAACATTAACTGTTTTCTTGATAACAATCTGCTACTCTTATATCTTAATAATACAAGCTGTCTCTCCACTACTACAATACTAAATATAGTATGTTTATATGGAAAATCTATGGTGAACACTTTCAATCTACATTATCTTTTACCCTGTTTACATAATGTATTAACGTGAAAATGAAAGTAAATTAAAAAATGTTTGTGTGTTGTTTGTATTATATATGCAATTATCAAATATTAGGAAATACTCTATATAATAATCATTATATTTGAACTATTCTACTATTTATCAAATATTTTATCGATATGTTGCAATTTGTGAAGTCTCTATCAGCGTTGTATCGCTTGAGAAGCTTTCCATCGCGTAATGTCTGATAAAATGAGAAACAGTGAATAGGCAATGCAGTTACAACAGATGCTCGCTCGAAAGTTCACCACGATGCACTTACATAACCAGTGACCTATTACTTTAAAGTACGCGTATCGACGACGTTACTGAAATTATCAACAAAGAAGCTTGCCAAATTATCAACTACTCCACCATGTAACAGGGTAATTAAAAACGACTTCTCGACCGACTTCAGAAACACGTCTCGTTCTGTATTCATGCAAGGTACAAAAGGATGCACCAATGGATCGTTACCGCGAAAATAACTACAAATTGGTACAAATCAAATGTATTAATAATTCTTTACCTCTTTACCATTATAATAGATCGAATAAGTGATATGACAGAACAGAAAATAATCACAAAAAAAAACACAAAAAACACAAAAAAAAAAATATAGTGATTTTAACTGTTTAGTAATAAATATTTTGTTATTAGGAATTAAAAGTATTGAAGTTAGTATTGAAAATATTCTTGGAGTGACATTGGGCTAATTACTGGTTAAATTTCGAAATGAAATAGCAAATGTCAACCGACAACAAAAAATTATACATATCGAAAAAGTGAAACTTACCTTCGCACCGTGAGAACGTCCTCGGTTTCTCAGCTTCCGATTCGCCTAGACGATCAACTTCCGTTCGCGATTCATCAGCTCACGTTTTCTATACCAGAAGACAATCTCTCACGTAGTCGCTCCGGTTCGGACGAATAACCGTGAAAGTTTTGGGAATCGAGCCGGAAAACTGTTACTCGCGTCGACACTCGCGCCTCGCTGACGCTGAAAGTGAAAAAATGAATGTTCTCGTAAGCAGGTTGGTCACACGATTACAATTGCAAGGTGTCTCCAATTTTATTTCAATTTTAAGTGCATTTGTTTCTAGTGTATAAATTAATAAGTATATTATTTTCAAAAACCGCTTTATGAAACCGCACAATGAACTGAGAATAATAGAAACAAGGAAAATATTGTTACAAAATATAATTCTGGCATACGAAAGAATTATCTAAGGAAATCGTAAATTAACTATTACAGTAAAAATGAAAGCAATACTTTTCAGAGGTACTTCAAACGGTGCAGAAGCTCTCGAGGTTCCTTTCATACCAACCAAGATGTTAAAATACTTTCAAATAACTCGCGCTGATCTACTTTCATCACGGTCTGACAAGTAGTATTGGTCTCTGCGTGGTCAGACGGACTACTTCGTAAAGTTCCCGCGCAGACAAAATGAAACTGTATTTCTGAATTTCCTGACAATGCGTGTGCGTGTGTGTGCGTGTTTTGTGTGAATGCACCGAGTTTTCGCTCCGGTTGAAGCGAAACAAACTGTCCAAACTGAGACACAAGAATTGTAGAAAGAAGGGAAGACACGCGTAATTTGATATGACGGTTCCACGAGCAAAATTTCGCGCCTTTCACGGTGACTTATTTTTACCAATTTAACCAGACGAAACTCGAAAATTCAATTGTTGGATGGCACGTTTTATACACTTATGACTAGACAGGAGATGTTTATGCATTTATAACTTAAAAATAATAGAAGAAAACATTTATGTGTCTTCGAGTTATCGTTAGTACTACAAAATGGTTAAGCAACTTCACAACGGTATTCATTCCTACAGAAGTTTCGAAAAAGAGTAAACCAGATTTTAATCCAAAGAACTTTATCTTAATTTCTCTGAAAATAAGAATTTTCAGAAATATTTGCCGCCTAGACAGAAGCAAAGAAAAGATCGATGTGACTTCCATCAACACGAGCAATCACCGTTAAGCCAGCCTCCTCAAATATTAACACAATGGCAACACGGAACGCTCAGTGGCAACAAGCTGCATGATCGGTAGGTTGCGATCCGGATGCACGAAGGACGAGGAAGGAAGGCGACTTCCAGAGTAAAGATAAACGACCGATAGTTCCCTCCGGTTCGATATATTATACTATTATGTTACGTGCAAGAAATGCGATAATTAGCGAAACCACGCGATAAAAAGTTCTTTGATAACATAATAATACACACGAATACCAGAAACGTTAATTACAAATTATCATCACGCAAACACAATAAATACAGGGTGAGTCGAGTCGGATGGTATAACCGGGCAGGAGGAGGTTATTCTACATGCAAAAAAACAAATAGCAAATATAGAATAATATTTTTTTCTATGATGCTTTGTTTCAGAGATAATCGAATTTAAAAATCTATTGGATATGCGTGGAATTGAATACGACTTGGCTAATGTGTCTGTTTATTACATTCCGTTTCTACTTATTGTCACCGCAAATACACGCATACTCGATAAAATTTCTCTCTAGAGAAAAAAAATTTATTCCTCTTTTTCGACTTATTTTTTCTTATAGAATCACCTCCTGCCCGGTTACATTACTCGACTTGAGACGCCCTGTATGCAGTCACTTAAATCGACCCTTTTGAGAGGGAAAATAATTGTATGGAAGTAGCATTTTTCTACATAGATGCATAGAGGACATATGGATGTGACATTTGTTTTTGAAAATAAGGATTCTATTGCACATTAAGGTCCATTAACCTAAACCAGACCACCTTCCAGGTCAATTTAACTTTGATTTGAAGTGTAATTTCTAATTACGCTTTTTATTTTAATATTTCTGAATTAATTTAATACCAATCATTACGTATTTTACAATCTAACGGTAGAGTTTCTGAATTGAATTTCAACTTTCATTCCATTAAATTTAAGGAGTACTGAAGGAACTACAGCTTGAGCCCGAGGGTTAATGAAGGTTATACATATTACACTGACAAGGGTTCGTCACGAAGTGGCAGTCGCCGATTTCGATGAAACTTCACACAGAGTTGGAGCACTGAAAATTAAACACATACCGAAAGGATGAAGACATCCCACGAAAAGGAAAGATATTTCGTCAAATATCCGGTGAACTATTAAAACAAGACAAAAAATAACAATTAAAAATGCTGGACACCTGAACGACGAATGGATCCACGTAATTACTTTCCAAAAAATTCATTTTATTATGCAGAACATTAAAAATGAATGCACTCTATAGAGAATCGCACACAGACGATATAATTCGGTAAAGTAAGTGGAAACACTCGTGAAATTGAATTACCGGTAAAAACAGACGCACCAGGGAATTTCCCTCGAAAATCAGTACACCGTCGAGAGGAAATTTCGGTATTCCGAGAGATGTTGCGCAACACTGAGGGAAGTTCGACAGCTGCAGTGAAAGTACTTCAGCTCAAGAGACCCGTGTTTGCTCGTAAGCCCCGGCAAGACCGTTTGCGGTCAACCACAACAGAAACGACGAAAATTCGCCCCTCCCCCGTTCTAAATCTGCTTTGAAAAGTAGAACCGGACGGAGTAGCAGCCCCACAGCGAAATCTTCTTCCGGGCTGCGCGAAATAAAATCACCGAAAATCTCAGGGTTTCTCCGCTAAGAGGATTTCCGCCATTTTGTCGACGTAAACCCAACAGTCCTGGCGACTGATTATCACGTAAAAATTATTAGACACCCCTCGATCGAGTTAACTTCTCGAAATTTCTTCGAGTTTACGATCTCGTGAAAAGTTTCGGATAATTAACTTTCACTCTTACCAGGGTTCCTCACATGACCGAAAAAAAAAACCAGTTCAGTGGTGACGTTAAAACGGCAATCTGTACGTGTACAGGCGTTATAATTTTCTCAGTTGTTACATCATTGAGTAGGGTGGAGAGAACTCTCATCAAGTACGACGTTACAGCTACTTAGCAGTTACCTGGGACCGAGTAGTTACCGGTACTTGCTGGTTATAGTCACTAAATTAGACGTTACTTAGCCTCTTGGCGAAAGAAACCGACACCTTCCGAGTGTATAATTGAGTGAACAGCCTGCAATCACGGTGCTTCCTTTGACAATCTCTGCATATTACTGATGTCGCTCGTTTCGTTTCCGGGAATAATATATTTACATATAACGTGCTCTAATTGAACGAATACACGTGTTGTTCGCAGTACTTACTGACGAAAAATGTAAAACTTGTAATTCTTCTGTGTTGTATTTTTCTGACGTTTTAATTGAATTTTAATGCCAATACATATTGTTACGTGTTACCCGATAGGCAGCACATATTGTATAATGTTAAATCATATGTATAATGAAAAATCAATTTCTATTATTAACTGTCTTCCAGAATAAATATAATAATATATTAACAATGGAAACATAAAAAAAGAAAAATTCATTTCTCCACACCATGAAGTCGGAAAAACAAACGATTAGGGCCCGTCCCGAATGTGTTAATCCCTTCGAATCCACCTAACAGTCCATCGATAGTCTCGATTAATCCCTTATGTAACTTCAAAAACTATTGGACCATGTACTAGAGACCGTAGGAACTATTATCCTCGATAATTTTCCCGACTTTTTGAAAGTCTACAAGATAAAAAACAAAATATGTCTGGACCTAAAAGATGGTGACAGTAGCAGTAAAAATAAATGCCACAAGCGAACAAAAACTCCCCAAAATCGAAAAACCCCGTACACCCAGCAAGAATTCCGATAAATCCTTCGCCAGCCCGAGCAACAAGAGCACGTATCACGAAAATCCTCAAGGATACATCACCGCTCCGAAGACGATCCATCAATCATCACCACGGGACGCAGCCGTCCATGAAACACAAAAAACTTCAACAAGGCCATCCCCCGTTTTCTCCCTCCCCCGAGATAAGGCGGGACAACGGTGAGGTGGAGGGAGGGAGGGGGCGAAGAACGCATCAACGCGTCTGAATCCACGGACGAAACAAGCGATCTCGAGGGTTCCGGTCGGATTAAGGATGTTCGACGATTTTTCAGCGACACGTGTACGGTCCAGCGGACGTTGAGCGAACGCCGCGATGTCGTAGACGACGAATGAAACCGACTCGGTCTTCCCTTTTTCATCGTCGCTATCACAGCTCCCACCGACAATGTAAATTCGGCAGTGTTGCCAGCCACCGTTCCGGCCACTACCCCTTGAAAAATGTCTCTTTCGCCACAGTGCTTTCCGTTCTCCATTCTCCCAACTTCGAGAAACGCTTGATCCGTCTCCTACGCGACCGGAAACGACGCTTTTGTCCACGCGTTACCGGTTTACACATCGGGAGAACCCAACGACTCGATCGATTAGGCCCGTTGGACAGGTGACGTGTCGTTTTTCAACGTACCACCACCCCCTCTGGTTACTGTACGGTTCGTTCGTAGGAATTGCGAGACGTCTATTCGACACGTCTTGAAAAGCGCCCACGGGGGGATGGTTCTGGGTTGAATCGATATGCTGCACACGGACTCGATTTCGTAGTTGGGATTCTGGACGGCAGGATTCGAGATGAATTGAGACACGACGTCTTGGAATGTGTTAAATGGGAGATTCCATTGGCGGAAAGAAGTTTTAACCCTTTTCGGGTATAACGACGGCTTTTAGATGTCGTTCGTGAATAGTAACGACTGGTATAATCGGTATATGCTTGAACCTTACAGGTCCAAAGTATTTTAAATGTTCCGCTCAGAAGGGAACATATTTAACCCGTACACACTTTTTTAATGAATTTTAATTGAAACTTAGGGGAAAGGTTTTATATAAGTTACGCCTTAAGGATCCCTTTAAGGCGTAACTTATATAAAAAATACAAATGCTCATTATTTAAATAAAAGTAAAGTAGTTTTTTTTTTAAGTTAGTCTATCTATCTTATCATTGGGTTAAATAAAATTTAGCTACCTGATCAATTATATTTTTTATTCACATTTCTTTGAAAGTATACTTAAGGA